TCAAGAATCAGTGGAATTTTTTGTATTTTTTTCAAAACATATTTTATGTTGTCAATTATCAAGATTTATAGTATTTTTACGCAATTTTTAAATATATATAAAAAAGACAAATAAATTAAAATGGACCCAATATATGTTATTTTTGTTGTCTCAATTTATGTGACACAAATGAAATTTGGAAAGTCATCCAAATTTTCATATCTTTTTTTAAAAAATGTTTTAAGTTATTAATTATTGTGATTTATAATATTTTTATGTAATTTTGAAATAACGTACATTACTGGTCACTTTGTCCTAATTTTAAAAAATGTTTTAAGTTATTAATTATTGTGATTTATAATATTTTTATGTAACTTTGAAATAACGTACATTATTGGTCACTTTGTCCTAATTTATGTGATATTGATAAAATTACAAAATTAACCCTTTTAAAATGTCTTTAAGATATTTTAAGTTGTTAATTATTATTATTTATAATACTTTTTTGGTAATTTTAAAATGATATATGTTATTTTTTCTGTTCCAATATATGTGAGCCTGATAGAATTCTGAGAGTCAACCTATTTTATTATATAACTTTTAAATATTTTAAATTGGTAATTATTGTAATTTTTAATGTTTTTTAAGTCATTTGTAAATGGTATATGTTGCTTCCTTGATTGGGACTTTTCCATTTGTGATATATATATATATATATTATTTTAAAAGGGAGTTTATGCCCAAGTTCTACTATATTTATATATTATACTTGGGCATAAACTCCCTTTTAAAAGTCCCACAAGTATAATATATAATATTTAAGATTGGAAAAAGTCCCAATCTTGAATATTATACATTATACTTGGCCCTAAACTCTCTTTTATAATATAGTAGAATTTGTTACCTGAAATGGCATAAATGAGCCAAATTTTTATTAGATGACATATATGAGTTTTTTTTCAAAGTTTGATGAAATATTTGAGCATTTTTCCCTTTTTAAAAATGATTAATTAATGACGTGACCGAATCATAAGTGACCACGTGTAAAAAATAGTTCAGCAAAATCGGAACTATTTTCAATTCACAAATAATGGCATGGATGAACCTTTTCTCAAACGGAAACGATATAAATAAATCAAACTTTTAATGGATGACATAGATGAGGATTTTCTCAAAATTCGATAGCATATTTGAGTTTTTTCCCGGTATAATATATTTGATCAATTTATTTTGATCCGTTTTACTTCAGTCCAAATCCATCCATTTGTCCATTCTAACAATAGCTACCACTCTCCAACTTTACATTTTTCTTTCAAAATTAAGGACATAGATTTCTTGGAATACAAGAATTAACTATACCAACAACAACCAAATAAATAAATAAACTATGCAGAAGAATTTGAATTATATTATAGGACCACAACTCCATGACTTTTTTTTTTCCTTTCATTTTTCCTGATATTTAATTAGTGGCTCAAAAGTTATTGGAAATTTCTTCTCTTTTGTGGAATATTTTTCTAACGTCTAAAAGGGGTCATTCACTATTTACAACACTTATCCACTCTAGTGCTACTTACTTTAGTTAAATTGACTCTCGATAAAAGAGATAAGTATCTTAAAATGGAAGGAATATATACTTTTTATATACTCCATCCGTTTCACAAAGAATGATCTAGTTTAACTTGATACAGAATTTAGGAAAATAAAAAAGACTTTTGAATCTTGTGGTCTTAAATTAAAGTTATGTCAAATGTACAAAATTGTCCTTTAATCTTGTGGCTTTAAACATGCCACGTGAAAAGCTGAAATTAAAATGTTACCAAAATAAGAAAGATGTCATTCTTTTTGAAACAAACTAAAAAGGAAAGAAGGTCATTATTTTTGAAACGAAAGGAATAATAATTTTTTTTTCATATATTTACAAAAGATATTATTTATAATTTTTTGAGCTTGAACTTAATAATATTTTAATCTAATAGCATACTCGAAAAATGCACAACATTTATGTTGACACCCCATTTATAATCTTTTCTCTATCATAAATCATATATGACTGTCATATAAAATGAAACGGAAGAAATACTATATTAGCTAATTGCTTAATTATGTTCTAATCGATCCAATCACCATCAAAATTCTCACAATTTAGTGGAGGAAACATGTAATAAAATTTAAAACCATAGTACTAAGACAAAGGAAGGTCATTTTTTAAATTATCACTTATCAGGCAAAGACAATTCTTTTACTTTCACAATTTCAATTTAGGTGACATTTTTTATTTTTTTATTTTTTATTTTGATCGATCTAAAAAAAGATAATAATAGACGAGAGGGAATTGCTGGGATGGTAAGCACCCCTCACTTCCAACCCAAAGGTTGCGAGTTCGAGTCAGCAAGGGAGCAAAAGGGGGAAAAAAAGATAATAATATATCTTTGCTAAATAAGGGGACAAAAAAGATAATAATATATCTTTTCATATTTAACAGTAACAATTTAACTTCAAATTTAATATTTTTCTCTTTCATGTAGCCACATAAATTTCTATAATTTATTTTAGAATACAAATTTCAAAAGTTCTCATTTTTTTAAATTTTATACTCAATGGAATACTTTCACGTAAATTGAAACGAAAAGCTTTTTTTTTTAAATATGGTCCCCATTGTCCAACGATAAGAAAGTGTCACCCTTCCTTCAACTTGTACTTTACGCTTGACTTTAAGCAACTAATTAACTATTCTTAAACGTCAATTAAAATGAGATTAGTGCCGCTGACGATATTATAGTGACAGCATGTGCATACGTTAGCAGCAACGTGTAGTACCTTCTTGACGCTCTCTGTAGCGCGTGTATCTAATCTCTACCCATTTTCCATGCAAAGATCAAAAGTGACCCCACAGTAGTTTTTTTTCTTCGACAAGGTACATAATTACTTTTGCTAGCTTTAAGATAAATTTTATATATATACATATTTATTAATTATTATTTTGATGAATAGTTAATTATGTCAATTTTTCTTTTAACAGGCGAAGACGAGGTACATAGTGTCCGTTTGGATTGACTTATTTTAGGTATTTTTAAGTCAAAATAATTTTTACGCAGTTTTGAAGTGTTTTGGTAAAGTTAAAAGGTGCTTATAAGCACTTAATTTTAAGTCAAAATAACAAAAATAAGCCAAAAGTTATAAGAGCTTGTTTGGATGGGCTTTTAAGCTGGTCAAACTGGCTTAAAAGCCAGTTTTTGACTTATTAGAGTGTTTGGCAATTATCAAAATGACTTATTTTAAGTCAAAAATGACTTATTTTAAGCCAAAAGCTAAAAGCTAGGGGGGGAGCTTTTTTTTTTTTTTAACTTAAAAGCATTTTTATGTTGACCAAGTATATTACCTTTTTGCCCTTAATTCTTTTATACAATTTCCAAATTGCCCATATTGAATTATTATTATTATTATTATTATTATTATTATTATTATTATTATTATTATTATTACTATTACTATTACTATTACTACTACTATTATTATTATTATTATTATTTTATTATTATTATTATTATAATAATTATAATAATAATAATAAATATTATTATTATTATTACTATTACTATTATTATTATTATTATTATGTGTATTATTATTATAATAATTATTATTACTATTACTATTACTATTATTATTATTATTATTATTATTATTATTATTACTATTACTATTATTATTATTATTATTATTATTATTATTATTATTATTATTTTATTATTATTATTATTTCTGAAATATGAATTTATATTCCTCTTATAAGGTGGTAAAGAAATATGTGAATGATAGAAAAATATTATTACTTATGGATGTAAAACATAAATTAATTTTGTTTTAATTTTTTTTTTAAGTATAAAAACCTTAAATTAATCAACTTTTTATCATGTTAACAGCTTAAAGGGTATTTCAGACATTTTGATAAAAAAAAGTGTTTACCAGCACTTATTTGCCAAACACATCAACAACTTTTTTTTCAACTGCAGCACTTTTATCCAAACACATAACTACTTATTTTAAAAATAAGTTCCAGCACTTTAAAAAGTTACTTTTTAAAAGTTACTTTTTTTAAGTCAATCCAAACGGGCTCTAAGTTAGAAATCCTAACTTATGGCTTTCGGCTTATAAGTCATAAGCCAAAAGTCAATCCAAACAGACCCTTATAATCAAACCCAATATTTATTGCATAGAACAGATATAGGTTCAATTATTAGAAAAAAAGAGAAGTCAAATTCATTTAATTTCAAATTTCATCATCCGATTAGTATTTTGTTACTCCCAATTTAAATATTTTAGTTTGATTGAATACGGAATTCAAGAAATAAATGAATTTTTTTAAATTTTGTGGTTTATACTTGTTGGCTATTGAAAATGAAAAACTTAATAAATATTTTTTTAAAAAAAATACTCTATTTGTCTCAATTTATGTGTCACCTTTCAAATTTTGAAGATTGAACAAGTCTTTTTAGGATTGTAATATATATATATATGAATTATCAATATTGTGACTTATAGTATTTTTTACTAGTTTTCAAATATGTAAATTTTAAATAATATTTCCTTGTCTCAATTTATGTGTCACATTTTGATTTTCGAGAGTCAAACAATTTAAGTTACTTGAGAATTTACTCATGAAATCTTCAAATTTTTTTAAAATAAAAATTTATATATTTGTAAACTACGTAAAAAATACTATAAGTCACAATAATTGACAATTCAAAATATTTAAAAGATATATAAAGATTTACGATCAAATATCCACTTATTTGAATCTCAAAATTTAAAATATGTTACATAAATTGTAATAGAGACAAAAGTTAAAAGACTAAAATAACACTTAACAACCAAAACAACCTCAATCAGTGCGCGTGGGCTTTGTATTTCCACAAGCTAAGCATGAATTTTCCTAGAAATTTTCTTTTAAATCTTTTCCCTTTTGCGTATAAATAAAGCTCTCTCATCTAATCCTCAATAGAGTCTTATAAAAAAATTATAATATGAAGTCATCTTTGTTAAAAAACAAAACGTCTGATCTAGAGAAAATAATAGTAGAGTTGAATCGTGGCCGGGAATTTACGTGTCGGCTAAGAGAGATAATAAAGAAGCATGTAGATCATGTAGATGATGAAGATGCATATACGTTGGTTGGAAAAATAATGAGTTCATTTTGTGCGACTCTATCGATATTAAGCTCTAATGAAGACTCATCAAGTAGTAGTTGCAAGATTTCATTGTTGAAAGATCGAAGAGGACGATACAAGAGAAGGTGATTATATTCTACTATATATGTTACGATACTGTTTAATTGAACATGAAGTTTTAAAATAAAAATTTAAACATATTCATACCAAAACTATACTTTCTTTTGTTTCAAGATGTCTTTCTTTATTTCGATATCACATAAGATCGAAGAAGTATATATTTATATTTCTATGGCTATAATTAACAACATGAATGAGGAATATATGCATGTTATTAAAAGTAAAATAGGAAGTATATATTATAAAAAAAAATTTAAAAGTTATTTATATTATTTATAGATATTAATTTGGGGAAAATCTGATTGCAGGAGAACTTTAGAGACAAGCGTAAAAGAAACTTCAACTTTGGTGTATGATGGCCATGCTTGGAGAAAATATGGTCAAAAAAAGATCCTTAATGACAAATATCCAAGGTTTGACCTCACAATATATATATATATATATATTATTTTTAATACTATTAGATCACTCTAATGATATTTATAGGTAATTAAGTTTTCTTATGATGTGGAATATGTAATTATAATAGAACCTGCAACATATATAAGTAAAGATAACTTAGATGGTATAATTTTTTTTTTATAACCAGTGCATGCATATGATTAAGAATCTTTATTAATTATGAAAAAAGATTTAAATGTTTGAACTTTAAGAAAAGACTCATTTATGTCATCTATTAAAAGTTTGATTCATCTGTGTCATTTTTGTTTGAGAAAATGTTCATTCATTCCATTATTTGTTAACTGAAATGACATAGATGAACCAAACTTTTAACAAATGACATAAATGAACCTTTCGAAAAAAGTTTTTACTCTACTTCTCTAAGGTAGGGGTAAGATGTGCATATTCAATTCTAGACGCTACATATACGTGAAATTACATTAAATGTATTATTATCATCGTTGTCATTGTACTATGCATTTGTATATAGTTTAATTTTTTTTTGTTGCTAATTAGTGATTTTGACATATAAATATACATATTAATAAAAAATGCAGGAATTATTTTAGGTGCACTCATAAATTTGATCAAGGTTGTCAAGCAAACAAACAGGTGCAAAGAATTCAAGAAAATCCACCACTATTTAGGATCACTTATTATGGTCATCACACTTGCAAAACTTGTCCTAAAGTTTCTCAAATGATATGTGATTCTCCAAATGATCATGAAGATTCTAATTCAGTCTTACTTAACTTTAATTCTACCAATAATAATTATAAAAATCATCACCATTTTTTGGGTATGATGGTGGAAACTGTTGATTTGTCTTTTGAATTTTAAACATACATATTGGGCTTTAATTTTTTTGGAGGGGAGTCTTATTGGATCAACGGTATAAAAGTTGTCTCAAATAATTTATAAGTGATAGATTCGAATAGTGAAAGCAGCTATTGTTACTGTAGTAGAATAAGTTGTTGACATTACATTCCTTGAAGTACAATCCTTTTTCATGACGTACCTTGTGTAAACTTTAATATGTATTTTTTCGTGTAGATTGTTGATTGTGGGGGTGGGGTGGGGTGGGTTAATGGAATTTGTGTAAATATTTTGTATAATGTTATGTACTTTGGAATGAGAATAATTTTGGCTACATTTATATATAATTCCTTTTCCTTTCGATCTTAATTTTTTTCTCTAACAAAACTTTTGTCTAGTTTAGTTTAGTTATTGTTTATCATAGGAATTGTTATTATTTTTATTATTATAGTGTGGATAAATTTCACATGACACTTTAAGTTGCATACCATAGGAGAAGGTTAAAGACCGAAAAAAATTTCTTATCTAAAGGTAGTTGCTACTTTAGTCTAGACATCAATCCATGAAAGTTTTCAAGGAGAAATTTTCGACTTCATTACATTGAGTTACACGTATATAAGTCTTTTATTTGTCTATAGTTCATATATATATGCAAGGAATAAGTAAACATTTGAGTATTTTGATATGAAATAAGAACTCAATAGAAAGATAATTGCATTCTATATTAAGCGTCATCAATTCAATTTAATAGAAAAGAAGAATATTTCATTCATGCTTTGCTAGAAATAGCAAATTTGTACAAGTTCTCATCCCAAAAAAGGGCCAACACAGAAAAAGAAAGAAAAATTCAAAGCACTTATGTTTTAAATCTATCTCTCGGATTTAGCCATGTTCCAGGCATTAAGAGCCTCAATTTTGACTGTTTCGGTACCATTGTTGAAAGCAAACAAATGTGTGTCTCCATAGATGGCTAATGATGGATAAACTCTTGATGTAATGCATGTCTTTCCACCTTCACCGAAACTTTCAACCACTGAGTGATCAATCTGAAGAAAAAAATCAACTAATTGTCAATACGACACAAAAGAAAAATGAGTTGAAATATGATTTTTTTAGTGCATTTGATATGAAAAAATTACCAAAGAAAGTTTACCAAACTTCGTAACGACAATCTTTGTCGGTTAGATTTATATCAACATATCCAGCAAAAGATGATTTATACATCTTTTTATGATTTCTAACGCTTGACCTAAATAAAATGGCAAGGTTATCCAAATGCAAAAGTATAAAGATAATAATACTTTTCATGTTCATAATTATTTGATATCAAGAACTCAATGGCCCAACTAACTTAAATCCACATCTTATAAGATTCGTTAAACAGGCAAAGCATTCTCTATGAGTATTTTTACATTCCCAAACTTTAAATCTGAGATCTCTGATTTAGGGGGAGGGATCTCATCATAATACTTGCTGATAAAAAAAAGTGATCAAAAGACAAACCTTGAGGCATCAGAACACATGAGAACCTTGTATTTATCTTGAGTCTTAAACACTCTGAAGAATACAGGTGTATACTCTTCCAGATTTTCAGAAGACAATGTTAGAATTCCAAATGGACCAAGTCCACCTTGAACTGTCAAACCCCTAATGACACATACATCTTGGGCATAAAGATCAGCCCAACTAGGATCAAATTCTTCTGCATTTTCCAAACTTGAAAAGGAAAATGTAACTTCAACATCAACCTGTCATCATATTAAAAGTGCAAATTAGAAAGCTCCATACACGTTTTTCCAAGTTAACCTATTGTATATCATTTCACATTTTAGTTTGACTATCCAAATTCTGTAAAATTTGACCTTTCATTTTCACTTAGGAATTTTTTTTCATTATTTCAAATACTTGGGAAATTTTTTTCATTATTTCAAATGCTTTTAATTTGTTAGAATTAAAGCAGGTAATATTGAATTTGGAATTCTCAAGAATTTATTAAGATACATGTATTTAAAATATTTACATTATACAAAATTAATTTGATTCATTTAGTTATATATTTATAAGTCTATATTCGATTTTACAAATTTAATTACTCTTTAATCTAGATTTTCTTTTTTCTACCATGTAGTAATAGTCAGGGAAAATGTTATAGTTAACAATTTCAAGTTTGCATAAGCCTGATTTGAAAATAGTTTTGACGTTTTTTTTAAAGAAAAAGTGGAAATGGAGTCAACAATAGAATAATAAAAAAATAAGGTTGATATTGTTGTTATTAAATTTAGGAACAACTGGAAATTTAGGAATGATATAGTCAATCAAAAAATAAGGTTAAGATTGTTGTTATAAATTTTAGGAACCAATCCAAAATAATAATAAATGTTAATTGAACAATGTGTTTTTTCTCCTACAATTGTGATTGACAATGTATGTTTTTCATTTATTTTTTAAATCGGATTTACATGAGAGATGAGATCACACAGGGTTAAAAAGTTGAATGAAATATTTGAAAGATCAAATAACACAAATTCAAAGTATTTTCTCTAACCATTTAAATTTGAAGATGAAATCACATCAAGGGTGACTCATTAAAATTAGTAGCGTAATACTAACTTCTAATAAAACACTTCAATATTTTAATAGAATTATGCAAATAATTAGTCACTTTTTTTAATTCAAACTTATTGTATGTTATGTAGTAGTTTTACGAGGTATAATGATTTTAAGTTTATAACAAAAATTTAATAGTAATAACAATATTAGGCTTATTTCAAATTAATAAGATGTTAACCATATGTTTATTATTAGTAATATGAAGATATAAGTAATTTAATTCAAAGTCTAAAATATTTTTACGATTGAAAAAAAAACAATCTTTCTTTCCTTATTTCTTTTATAAAAATTTAATTCAACGCTTAAAACTAATTCATAAGACGTGAATTATTTAAACCATATAAGGGGACAACACCTTATTGATCAACCATTGTGGGATATACACTTTAACACAACTTGGAATCCAACATTAGGTAAACCAATTATAAAAGATGAATACCATGTTAAAAAAATAGATTGTTGACTAGCTTACTCAATCGCAAAAGTTAGTTCTAGAGGTGAAGATTTGTCAAGATCATATAAAGAAAAAATACTTTATTTTCGGAACGAGTGTGAGATATCTCACAATGTGTATTGCATTATGCAATTCTAATAGCAAATAATTTGAGGACGAGATGGGGAGGGAGGGGGAGGGGTATTTATGAATGTCGAAATAATCTGGGGAGATATTGAGAGAAAGTAATAGTATTTACTCAAACACTATAGTGAAAGTGTGTTGAATCTAGAACAGACAGTAAACTCCTTTATAATGGACGTTTTATTTTGTTTCTACTGATGACAGACCAAAACGACACAATATGTGTTGTGATGTGAAGAGATTTACTTGGAGAAATTGGAGGAACATGTATCACACGTGTAAGTGTAAATATGAGAAACTCCCACATGAATATTCTACCATAATGGGAATTCAAGAATCGGTAAATGAAATTTTAATGAATTTGAAAGAAATTGTATTGGGAAGTAATCTATATGGAACTTTTGACGCGTCTATTTGTGTCAAAGGTCTTAGATATGTAACTGCTCAAAATATCATATTACCACCTTATGTAGAAATTGTTGATAATACACAACATTAGCTAGTTTAAGATGACTAATTGATTTTTGTATTGGATAACAAATAGTCAAATAGTGAGAAATACCACCGGTCTTTTAGGCCGGACACCTACAATAGTATTATATGATTATTATTTCTGACTAAAATTATAGAGTAATTCACTTGCAGCACCAGACTCACCAATCGAAGCTACTAGTAATCCCGAGGGGGAGACATCCTCTTATAATAGTTAGCAATGTTGAACAATCGAGATATCGGTCTGAGGTCTTGCTAATTAAATCTTTGCCCCAGAGGGAGGACGCTTATGAATAGTTGAACCAGGAGACTATTTTGGTCAAAGATAAAACTTTTATTTTCTTGTCTATCGAATATTTATGATTTTGTTATTTTTTTAAAATGAAAATCGATTCTGGCATTAATTATTGGATTTGAATGCTTACATATTGGTCTAGTTTAATTTTCATTAACCATAGAAATTGTTATTAATATTAGAGTGTGGAGAATATTACATAACATTAATAAGTTGTATACACCAAACATAGTTCACGTTGAACCTCTATAATGTCCAATAAGTAGAGTTTTATGTGGTCAAATACATCGGAAAAGAGATGAAGACGAAATATTATGTAGTTATGAATCTAGTCTCGACATCAGTCCGTGAAAGCTTTTAATCTCAACCCTTTCTTTTTAGTCTTTTCTGCATTTTGGCATCAAGAGGATAAAACGATTGCAAAGAAAGCTCTTGATTTTTCTATATTGCTCGAAAAAAGTTTAATTTCATTTCATTGATTTGCAAGTATATAAGTCCTTTATTTGTTTGTGCCCCATATATACACACAAGAAATAAGTAAACATTTGTATATTTTGATATGAAATAAGAACTCGAAAGATAATTACACTATATATCAAGGAGTCATCGATTCAATTAAATAGGAAAAGAAGAATATTTTATTTCATGACTCATAGAAGTAGTGAATCTGTACAAGCTTGATTAAAAAAAAGGCCAACATGAAAAGAGAAATGAAAATTGAACGCAATTATGTTTTCTTCTTTTCTCCTAGGATTTTTCAGTTTTACATGTCGGCTTTATCCATGCTCCAGGCATCAAGAGTGTCAATTTTGACTGTCTCAGTACCATTATTGAAAGCAAACAAATGTGTGTCACCATAGATGGATAAAGCTGGATAAACTCGTGATGTAATACATGTCTTTCCACCAGCACCAAAACTTGCGACCACGGAGTGATCAATCTGAAAAAATAATTAAACTACTTGTCAATGCGACAAAAAAAGAAAAATGAGTTGAAATATAAGTTTTAAGTGTATTTTATAGGAAAAAAGTACCAAAGAAAGTTTACCAAACTCCTTAGTGACAACTTTTTGTCTGTTAGATCAACATCGACATACCCAGCAAATGAGGGTTTGAACATCTTTTTGTGATTCCTAACGCTTGACCTGTCACAGAAAAAAATAGAATGATGAGGTTAGCCAAATACAAAAGCATAAAGATAACAAATCTTTTTATAGTTATAATTATTTGATATCCAAAACTCATTTGCATTGCATTAGACCCATTTAATAGGAGGAGAGATACTTGCTAATAAGAAAAGTGTGATCATTAGACAAACCTTGAGGCATCAGAGCACATGAGAACCTTGTATTTGTCTTGATTTTTAAACACTCGAAAGAATACAGGTGTA